AAAAATTTTCTGATCATTTTCAATGGTGGTGGTGGTGGTGGTGATTTTTTCTCCTTTGATATCCAATAAGAATAGTAAGACAGCCAAAAAATTGGCAATTTTTTTTTTTTTTTTGGTTTAGTTTAGTTTTCAGTTGGGCGTATTGATTGAACACCAACAACAACAACAACGACGACAAAACATATTGCAAGAATCGATATCCATTCATATAAAAACATTAAATATTAAACATTATGATCGATTATTATTGTGGTATCGTTATTATCGATTTGTTCATCGTACACACAACAACAACAACAATTGGTTTTTGTAATGTTCTTTTTGTGTGTGTGTGTGGGATAATATAAAGAAAAATTGGTCAATCAATGAGTATTTGGTGATCGTGGTGACCATTATCATCATCATACTGGACCATTGTGATAGCCAACAACAATAGCAAAGAGAAAAAAAAATTGAAATTCTTTTCTTCTTTTGCTTTTTCATTACATTTTTTTTTCGAAAGGCAATACCTATTTTTCTGTTTTGTTGTTCTGTTTTTGTCATCATCATCATCATTCGGTTCATTGTACGCAATTCATTGACAAAAAATTTGTCAAAAATAAATAATCGTTGTAATCGCACCCAACAATACAATACGTATGTTGATAATCAAAAACGAAAAAAAAAATTAACTTTTCAGAATTATTACTTTATTTAACAACTCCGTTTTTTCAAATTATGATTGATGATAAAAAATTTCTATTGAATGTGTGTGTATGTGTGTGTGTTTTCACACCACCGACAGAATTTTCAAGAATCTGATTCTATTGAACAATTTCTAAAGAACGAAAAAAAAAAATTGCGCAACCAAACACCCGCACACACACATACACACAGATGTCCAAATTTTTTTTTATTCTTTCACGACGTCACACAAGGGGAAAGACAGACATTTTTTTCTGGCCACACTCATCATCATCATCATCATTCGATCAAATGAAATGAATTATTAATAAATGATTTCATTTCATTTCAGTGCAATAATAATGATAATCATTATTATTGCTGGAATGGAAAAAAACAAAACAAAACCCACACACACACACACACACACATAGACATAATAATGGCAATAATCTTAAGACTTCAAGACACAATGATGGTGAAACGGAAAAAAGAAGAAGAAAAAAAAAAAAACATTATTTTCCAGTTATATTACAACGAAATTGCAATTTATTTATTTTTCTTTTTTTCCATTTGTTTGTTTCTGGTTCACCGGGTTACATATAATATAATCTTTAAATGTCCAAAATGTAACGACAAATATCGATGATGATGATGATGATGATGATATATGTAATAAAATGAATGTGGGGAGGGAATGAAGAAAAAAAACAAGAAAATTTTAGTGAATTTTTTTCATGTTTTTTTCGGGATTATTTTTCGAAAATGGCGTTTACACACACACACTCATTGAAAAAACATTTATTTCGTGGAAAAATCTTTGATTTTTTGGCAGAAAATTTTTGACAACAACAGCAAATTTTATGGAATAAAATACGAAAAAAACGATTTTGCTGCAACTGTAAAAATCGTTACCAAAAAGAAAAAAACAAAGCATTTGATGATCAATAATCACCAGTGAGTAGTGAATGGATGAAAGAAAACAAAAATTAAATGAAGCTTAAATGATTCAATATAAGAATATAAAGATATTTAGTTTTTTTTTATTATGGATATACTAGCACTATTGCTATTAGGCTAAAGAAAAAAAAGAAGAAGAAGAAGATGTGAAACAAAAAAAAAACTTTGGAGAATCATTGGAATTTCCAACACTTGTGTTCTGGTTCTGGTGCACCAATCGATTCCAACCGATAGACTATGGCCATTCGCCATCTGTTTGAAATGAATGGAAACAAATGGGAGAGTGAAAGAGAGAACGAAAAAAAAAACTGAAACTTTATCCAGTTATCGTGGAGAGAAGTTTTTTTTCATCTTCTTCGTTATTATTGTTTGGCCAGAACCAAGAAATTTTTTTTTGCTGAAAAAAACAGAATATTACTTAAATATAGCTCTATTGTAAAATTCATTGATTCTATCAATGAAGCTTGTGGATGTGAACGCATAATCATCACTATCATGATGATGAAATTCTGTCGCAAATTTCCCAAATTTTTTTTTCTCCTGTTGTTATTATTATTGATGTTGTGAAAATAAAATAAAGAATTTTCCCGCTGCATGGTTAGCAAATAACCGTTGTCAGTAACACAAAATTATTATCGTCATCATCATGATCATCACGAGTATCGCAATTTATGATTATGTAAAATTCCATAAAAATAGTCACACACACACATAGATCTAGAGCCATAAATTCAAGGTGTTTATATGTGGTTAGTGGTTTATTCGTTATTTCAAGGAAAATTGAATGGCAATAAAAAAAAAGACATACTGACTGACTGACAAATGGATTAAGAAACACCCGAATAATGGGCGCCCCATATAAATGAAAGAAAAAAAAACCCACTATTTTTCACCACTATTTCCACCCTCCACCCACCCACTCAAGAAAAAAATTTATTTGAAATTTCAATGAAAAAAAAACAACCGATATTCATTTACATTCACATTCACATGTGCCCCTTTCAATGTGGGCTTCACCATCTCATTATTATTATTATTTTTATGAATTTGTGAAATTTTGTTTGTCATTGTCGTGTGAATATTGAATGACAAATAAATGAGACTATTTCATTATAATGAATAATAATAATAATAAAACAACAACAACAACAACGACAACGACAAAAACCACCATCCACCATGATCATTTATGAATTATGGTGCTTGATTTATATGTATCATATTCGTACAAACAACGCCATACTATCAATGAATGAAAAATGATGATTTAACCAAAAAAAAAAAAACAAGGTAAAAATATTGCGAAATTTTTCATTTGAAATCAGGGTGGTGGTTTTTTTTTGGTTTTCGATACCAAAAAAAATAAGCAAAGAATCAAATATCAATAAATTGTGCAAGTAAGCAGTAACAAAAAAAAACACAACGAATTGTTATTTCTATGTTTCTGATTTGAATTTGAAATTATTATTTTTTTTTACTCTTCTCCATCCATTTATTCATTCATTCATTCATCGTTGTTGTTGTTGTTGTTGTTAATCAATATATGTGTTTGTTGTATCATCAATGACATTCGATCCAATGACAACAACAACAACGACGACTTCGGGGAAAACAAGACAGCCAAATAATTTTTTTTTCCAGTGAATTTTGATTATGCACAGGAAAAAAAAGTGCGAGCAAGAGAGAGAGAGAGAGAGAGAGTGAAATTCAATTTATTATCAGAGAGAGAGAGAAAAGACACGGACTGTAGTTGTGTTTTCCCGTGAATAGATTGAATTTTTCTTTTTTTTTGTTTTGTTTTGTTTTTTTTTTTTTTATCAGCCACGCTAAACACATTTCTTGAAAAAATGTTTTTCTTTTTCTGTTGCAAATAAATGAAAAAAAACTCTGTTTCATTTTTTTTTCAATTTCAAAATTTCCATTTTAACAATTTTTTTTCTACTGATTCTTGATATGCGAATAAAGTTTTTCTTTCTGTTCCGGTTGTCGTTGTAGTTGTCGTTTTTGTTGTTGTTGTTGTTGTTGTTTTTCTTTCTATCAATTTTATCCGATTTTTGTTGTTGTTGTTTGTTTTGTTCTTATTTATTTTTTTTGTTTATTTCATGCTCTTTATTTAAAAAATGGATTATGATGATGATGATGATGATGATAGTAGAAAAGAATTTAGGAAGGCCATTTTCATCCTTATGGTCCATAATGACTAGGAGTGGCCCAATGGAATGACTTTTCATTCTTTTGTGAGGGGCCAACTCTATTTTATTATCATCATTGATTATTTGGTTATATCAACAGTTTGCCGTTGTCGTTGCCTTTGTTATTGTTGTTGTTGTTGTTGATCTATTTTTATAACCAGAAAAAAAAGATATCAAAAGATTTACTCAAAGTGTTAAAAAAAACGACAAAGTTCAACCATTTAATATAACAAAAAAAAATGGTGCACAAACACAAACACAGACACAAAAAAAAAACAAACATATCGAGTACATTTAATCCGGTGGACAAACAAAACTGAAAAAAATACCAATCATATTAACACCCACAACAACAACAACAACAACTGCTACTGCGCATGCTAGAAAAAAAGCTTCTAGGTTTTGAAAAAAACACACAGAAAAACCTTATTAAACATTTATAGATTATTGAATTCAATTTTTGATTAATTATGATCGAATAAAAAAAAACACCATATTTGTCATAATAATAATGATGATGATGTATATTCGTGTTTCATTTCATTTTCTGATTTTGATCACTGATTCTCTCATTCATTTACAGTTGTTGGTGTTTCTCATTCGTTTGTTTGTATGACAAAACATCATTATCATTAGTTGAATGACTGTGTGTGTGTGTGTGTGTGCTTATCATTTGAGAATCAAAAAAAAAAAAAAACGATCATTTTGTCATCATTATAGACAAACAACAACGATTTATTATTTTTTTGAGTGAAAAAAAAATTCAAATATTAAATTCTAGAAAGAAAAACGGAAAATAATTTGAACTGATGGTGGTAGTAGTGGTGATGGTGGTGGTGGTGTTTAGCCAGAAAAAAACGAGAGATGGAGAGAGAGAGATTGAAGAATATGTGTGTGTGTATGTTTATAAAACGACGAAAGAAAAAACTAAACAAGTCAAACGAACGAACGAACGAACGAACGAAAAAAAAAAATAATCATTTATCATCTAAAAAAAAAAGAATAAATAGGCTGCAATAATGCCAATTTTTTGGAAATTTTAAATTTCCAAAGAATTGGAGAAAAAAAAACACACACAGAGAATTTACAGAAAATATTTTCTTCATCTTATGATTTATAAATCAAAATGATGACGATTATGTGAATAAAAAAAGAAAAGAATTTGGAGATGATGATAGAAAAAATTGATGAAAAGAATTTTTTTTCCACGGAAATTTTCCTGGCAAAAATTAAGCCAAACCACACACAGACAGACACAGACGCAGACAATTATACCGTTTATTTGAAAATCCCAATTTGCCAATCATGTGACCAATTTTATTCACAATGATTAATTACCGATTTTCTTTTCTTTTCTTGATTCCATTAGATCGTTTTTTTCCTGTTGGCTCGATGGTAATAAAATGGAAAACATAAAAAACGAATTACATCAATAGATCAACGATCAATAATCATGATAATGGACAATGCATGGCCGATGAAAAAAATACCGAATCATATAGTGTAATTACCCGATCATTATCCGCGCGCGCACACACACACACACACACAGAAGCAGATCAAATGAACAACAATTGATCCGGACAACACTTAATGAAAACGACAAACAAGAATCCAGAATAAATGATTAAAACCACATAATAATATTGAACGTGTCAAAATTGCAATGTGTCAAATAATAAATGAGGTGAAGCCAACTTTTATGTTACTACTAATGTTGTATAATTGTCAACAATGTAAGTCAACATTGTTCAATGGACAACAACAAATGTATCGAAAATTTTCTACTGTAAAATTATCATCATTGTTGAATGTCATCAAACAAAAATTATTGTGGCCAACAACTACAACAGTAGCGATTATTGTCGTTTGGCCTACTTGAACTTTGTGGAACAGTGAATTTTTTTTCCCACTATTTTTGTTGATTTTTTTCAAAAAAAATAAAATAAAATAATCAGCCCGAATGGCTCTTTTGTATCGTTTTACTAAACTAAACGATCGTTTCAATACAGGAATATTTACATTTATTGTTACACGTTCAGTAACACGTGATCTACATCGTGATGCAACCACCAAAGATTTCTATTATGGCTATCATCGTTGGGCTATATCGTTTACACGTGCAAATGATCGTGCATTGGGTGTATTTCTATTGCTACGTAATCCATCACCATCGACAAAATGTTATGCTGATTTTACATTAACATTATTGAATCGTGAACATTTTAGTCGTAATGAACAACATCAAGAAAAACAATGTAAATTCACTACAGAACATACTACACAGGTAAATAATGATAATCGGAAACATCATTTTATTTCATTTAATATCTATTTATAATCAAAATTTTTTGATCAAAACAAAAAAAAACAATTGAAACTGAAAAAGGGAAAAAAAATCTATTAATTCTAGCCAATTATCTTCATGTTATTGTTTTGTTATCATCCTCATTATTACCACCATAAATGAATCGATCAATCGATCGATCTATATCGATTGATTGGTATAGGAAAAACATTTTGTGTGTGTGTGTGCAGGTCGCACATTGCACCCACACCACACACACACACACACACACATACAAAATAATAATATTTCAAAGACCAAAATCTTCAATAAGATGAGCATGATAAGTACTAAAAGAGAAAAAAAAAAAAATTAGAAAATTGTTTCTTCTTTTGAAAACGAAATGAGAAACGAACGAACCAAAAAAAAAAAAAAAAAAACAATTTCATGGTTGCATGAATCGAACAGCGGTGTGTGTGTGTAAACGTTATTCAAAGGAAACGAAAAGAAAGTAAATTTGGGCATTTTTTTTCTTGTATAAGTAGGTGATGGCAATAAGATTTAGAGAAATATTGAATTTAATAACATCATCATCATCATCATCATCATCATCATCACACAAGATTCTTGATTCTTGATTCTTGATGCCCGAATAGTTTTGTATAAGAAAAGAATTTTTTGTATTTCTCAAAAATGATGATGATGATGATGATGATGATGATGAAGGTAGTAGTGGTGGTGGAAACAAGAAAAAAAAAACATCGAACCAAAAGAGTTACCTCACATACACACACACACAGGAAGCCCATATACCTTGGGTATTTTTTTTTGACGAACAAATTTTTTTTCTTGATTACTACTACTACTACATCATGATAATTCGATAGCGTTTTTTTTTATCAATTTTTCTCAGTATAGGTATGCACCGGTATATATGTGATTATTAATACTGATAACAAAATAGTGGATAAAATGATGACGAAGGTAACAATAACGAAAAAAAAATGATGATGATGATGATGATAATAATAATAACCAAACGAAACGAAACAAAATTCCTGAATAGAACCAAAACGGATATTAGTTTTTTTTCCATTAAATCTGAATTATAGATATAAAACCACCATCATCATCATCATCATCGTGTTAAGGTTTATTATTATTGCTTCGATAACAACAACAACAACAACAACAACAAAAAAAACAACCAAGTGTTTAGCAAACTAAAAAAAAATTCCATCAAACCAGGTTTCGAAATACATCCGCACACACACACACACACACACACACACATATTTTAAATTGTTTTAGGTTCCTGTTTTGCTTTTTTTTCCTGCAGAGTGAATAGAATTTCACTCTTTCTTTCTTTCCTATGGTATGGAATTCGTTATTTTTGTCATCGTCATCATAAAAAAAAAAATGACAACAACCATATAAAATTATTATCAAAAGCAATTATAATAGCATTATGACTAAATCAAACGAACCGAGAGCAAGAGAGAGAGAAGAAAAGAATTGAAATTTTATCATCATCATCATCATCATTACAATAGTCTTCCAGAATGGAATAATCATCATTCACATATATAGTGTCAGGTTATTGCATTTTTTTTTTTTTTTTTTTTTGCCATTTAATAAAAAAAAAAAAAAATCATGTGTGATGAAATAGAGAGTGAGAGAGAGAGAGAGATAAATACTTTAAATTAATGTTTGTCACATGTCAGTATTGTATTACTACCCGAAATTACCACCCTACTACCTCTACTGCTGTGGTGGTAATGATGAAATGTGAGATTTATTTTTATTTGGTTTTTTTCCATTAATTTTTTTTCTTCTTCATATTTTCGATGGTTAAATTTTTTTTTGTTTATCATTTTTGGAACAATAACAACAATTGGGTGTAGCTTGTTTTTCAATTTATCCAATGTATTTAATAATAGATTAATTATCTTGTTGTTGAATTGATTATTGATTGATTGAATTAACGATAAAATTTGTTTATTTTTTTTTTTTTTTTTTAGGGCGTCAATAAATGGATACCAATGAATGAAATTCAATCACGCAAATTTGGTGATGAAACTGGTGAATTTCTGTTGGAACTTAGCCTAGGTAATATAATGACCATTTTTGAAACCGATCTACAAGTGTCAAGTAATAATAATAATAATAATAATGGTCAGCTCAAAAGTGGTAAATTTGAAAGTGCCTCATTCAGTTTTGGTTCATTTGAATGGAATGTTTCTATTGTGATCCATAATTATGGTGCCACAAATGCCGTGACAATAGCCAATGATAATACAGCCAATGAAACATCATCATCATCATCATTATCGACAAATCGTATAATTTATGTATTTTTAAATCGTTTAAGTGGATTTGATCATCCATGTCGTGTACAATATCGTGTTATAATTGGTGATGATGATCAAAAAAATCATGAAGATTCCAATGTATTGGATCAAATATCCGATGCTGGTGGCCGTATACGTGGATTTCAAATGCAACATTCACTTTGTGATCTAATCAAATCAAATGGTACCGTACGTGTTTATGTTGAATTACATTGTTGTAATGCAATTAGCGAAGCTAAAGTGCCTATTGTACGTAATCCTTCACCAAATATCAATTGTTATGATCGTAATAAACAGGTGATATATTGAGTGATATTATTCTTTTGTTGATTTTTTAACACTTTCTGTTTCATGTTTATTGCTATTATTGCACACACACACACATAGGGTTGGTGTATTGAAGCCGACCTGGATAGTGAATTTTTACGCCTTAAACTTTTTTTTATGGATCTTCATTCTGTACCACGTAATCATTTACGTTATATATCATGGATTGCATACGTGATTGCAAAAGATCCACGCCATGGTGTACGTGAAAGTTTGGCCGTATCGAATGCACCACATTCAAATTATTATGTACAGGATGGTATCGATATGGGCGCAATGATGGATACAACATTGCCAGTGGCAAAAGTATGTATCTTGTATGAATTTTTTTTTTTTTTTTTTTGATTTATTCCATTTCAAATTTATATATGGATATGTGTGTGTGTGTATTGATTCATGTTTGTTTTTTTTGCCCACCAGATTAAAGAATCACCAAAAATTTATTTAGAAAATGAAAAATTAACCGTACACGTTGAATGGTGTGATTCAATCATGTTGTTCAATCATATTTATCATAAATATGATGACATTACACGTATACATGGCCATCAAATGAGGTATGTATTTTATGGATAACCAAATTTTATTTTCACTTTCTTTTTTCTTGCCAATTCATTTGATTTGAAATCCAACCATATTGGCTATGAAACAATGTGTATCATGAATGAATGTTTTAAACATAAATGCCCAACAAAAACAAAAACAGGAAAAAAACAAAACAATAATAAACTGAAGAAACAACGAATCGGAATTCTAAAAACACTTGAAACTAGGAAAATAAACAAAGAATTTAGAGGCAAAGTGAATTTTTTGGATTCTTTCCAAAGAATCAATGTTGCTATTCTGTTATCGATTTGAGTTCATTGAAATCCGTATTGATGAACAAAAAAGAAAAAAAGAAAGAAAAGTGAATGAGGGAAATAAGATTGGCAGCCACCACCACCACCACCACTCTACCATAGATTCCATTCGGTATTTATATATGTTATATTGGTTGGAAAATGGCAAAATAACCAAATGACAAATGACTATTTTTTTTTTAAAAAAAAAAAATAAACTTGACGGCGGCCACTTGCATTCGATATATATATATATATATCGTATCAATATATCCATTTGACAATTCACAAACATTTTAACACTGAAATGGAAAAAAAACCAACTACATACCGTATGTTCAGAATATGTGTAGCACTAACAAAATGAAAAACCACCGGGTATTATTTCAGATAGAGAGAATGAGAATAAATTCAAATAGAAAACATGAATACAAAAGAATCGAATGAATGGAAGAAAGAAGGAAAAAAACACCGAAAAGAATTATTATTTTTGTTTGTTTGTTTGTGTGTGTGTGTGTGTGACAATCACACATTTACTTTAATTAAACTTAATCATTGGTGACATTTTTTTATTATTATTATTCACTCACTCACTGTGTATTCTCATTTGATAGAATAAAGAATTTGGTGAATGGAAAGAAAACATGAATACAAAAGAATCGAATGAATGGAAGAAAGAAGGAAAAAAACACCGAAAAGAATTATTATTTTTGTTTGTTTGTTTGTGTGTGTGTGTGTGTGACAATCACACATTTACTTTAATTAAACTTAATCATTGGTGACATTTTTTTATTATTATTATTCACTCACTCACTGTGTATTCTCATTTGATAGAATAAAGAATTTGGTGAATGGAAAGAATATTGGACACACACACACACACACACACGCACGCATCATGAACTGAATTGATTGACTTTTTTTTCTCTCTCTCTCGCTCTTCATCATTGTATCATTTTATCGACATCATCAAGACGATGATGATGACGAAGAATTTTTTTTTCGTTTCGTTGTTCCATTCAAACATTCAATGATTATTCTTTTTTTCTCTATACCGCTAATTATTCAACAATGTTATCAGATTTTTATTTTCTTAAACAATTTCACTCAACAATGATGATGATGATGATGAAGCAATTTTTTTCTTTGTTCTTTAGTTTGAAAATTGTCAAACTGTCAATTGATGCATGAAACATTCATGTATGAAAGTGGAAAAAAAAAAAAAACAAAACACAATCGCTGATTGGATTTTTTTTTCTGGCGATGGAATCAAATGAAAATGAAAATTGAAATTGAAAAACCAGAGGAAAATCTTATGATGATAAGCAAGCTACTAAAAAAAAGAAACAATGAGACAGTGTAAGAATTGAAAAAAAAAGATTACATTATTATAATGAGATATATATATCCAACGAACAAAAACGAAAAACAACAACAACAACAACAACAAGACAAATAGATGAATGAAGATTATTTTGCCCCTTTATTTTTTTATATTCAAAACTTTTAAAAATCTTGACAATCATTTTGTGAAGAAAAAAAAACGGCCGGAAAAGATTGAGAATATACACACACACACAAAAAGTGAACAAAATTTTGATTTTTTTTAACGAGTGAAAAAAAAATGAAATAACAATAATGGATTTTTGTGAGAGATTGAAAGTCATCATCATCGGAAGAAGGGGCCAAAGAATTTTCTTTCTTTTTTTGTAATAATTGAGAGCCATAAAAAAGTGAATGATAATCACTATTGGTGGTTTATTTGCCATTTTGGCCATTTTTTTCTCTCTCTTTTGAAACAAAATAACAACCGCCCGGTTTTTTTTCTTATGAATATAATCGGAAATTCATTAATATTTTCAATGATGATGATGATATGATGATGATGATATTACTGGACAAATACAAAGAAAACAAAGAATTCACAAGAATCGATCATATCAAATAGTGATCGATTGGTTCATCATCATCATGATCATTCAATAATAATTTCCATTATTATTCCACTTTGAGTTTTCTTTTCATTCATTCATTGCCTCATTATTGTTGTTGTTGTCATTACGATGATGATGATAATCAATTATTTCTATATAGAAAAAAAAAGATTGTACTTGAATTATTCGCTTGTGTGTGTATGTGTGTGTGTGTTTTGTATTTTATTTGTAATGGAATTCAATTTACCTCATTGTTATTGAATGATATGTCATTATTTGATGATTATCGATATCTTGTGATCTTTTGTTTGGTTATCCGAACAATTGTATCTCTCTCTCTCCCTTTTTCTCATTTTCACCATAGTTATGTATGAATCTGGATAACCAAGAAAAAAATCAATGACTAACCAGAATTACAACATTTTTTTCGTTGGGGAAGGGAGGGAAACATAATCATCAGCCACCAGTATAGAACAAACGGAGCAAAAACAAAAATTGTTTCATCAGAATGAGATAATGATATTCGACTCTAATACCACCACCGTTGTTGTCGTCATATGTTTTTCATTTTTGTTGCCGTTGTTGTTGTTGTTGTTGTTAACCCTCCATGTCATTATTTGATGATTATCGATATCTTGTGATCTTTTGTTTGGTTATCCGAACAATTGTATCTCTCTCTCTCTCTCTCTTTTTTCTCTCATTTTCACCATAGTTATGTATATGGTTATTTTTTTTTTATCTGGATAACCAAGAAAAAAAACAAACTAATCAACCATCAATGACTAACCAGAATTACAACATTTTTTGTTGGGGAAGGGGAGGGAAACATAATCATCAGCCACCAGTATAGAACAAACGGAGCAAAAACAAAAATTGTTTCATCAGAATGAGATAATCCTTTTGTTTGTTTTTTTTCCATATTCGACTCTAATACCACCACCGTTGTTGTCGTCATATGTTTTTCATTTTTGTTGCCGTTGTTGTTGTTGTTGTTGTTGTTGTTGTTGTTGTTATTGCTAAGCAAATGATGATAATAAAGACAGAAGCTCAAAAAAAAATGGTGGCATAGTGACAATTTGATGAAAAAAAACAAACGAGAAAAAAATATAAAAACGAAATCCTTTCGCGAAACCAAAAAAAAAAAAAATCAAAATAATGGGAAATCTATCATTAATGTACACAACACAAGTCACATGTGTGTGTGTGTGATTATCCAGTGTGGCGAAAATGAAAATGAATTCCAACGAAAATTAATATCGACAGAAAAAAATATATATAATTTACCAAGCAAAAAAAAAAAAACATTGTATATACATGATTAGTTAATTAATCTATAATCCAACTTTTTCCATCGATGAAATCTGGAAAATTTCTATCTCAACATTTTAAACTATCAATGGATATAAAATGATATAAAACGAAATCCTTTCGCGAAACCAAAAAAAAAAAAATATCAAAATAATGGGAAATCTATCATTAATGTACACAACACAAGTCACATGTGTGTGTGTGTGATTATCCAGTGTGGCGAAAATGAAAATGAATTCCAACGAAAATTAATATCGACAGAAAAAAATATATATAATTTACCAAGCAAAAAAAAAAAAACATTGTATATACATACACACGTGATTATTACACTCTAATTAATTTATTAATTAATCTATAATCCAACTTTTTTCCATCGTCATCGTCGTCGTTATTCGAACAGCAGGCAATCAAATCTGGACAATTTATAATGTGCATAGATTGAATTTCTATCTCAACATTTTTAAATCTATCAATGGATATATAAATGAGAAAAAAAATTCAGTTTCTTCTCAAAACATTAAACATCAAGAAAACACTGTGTGTGTGTGTGTGTGTTTTTTCTGAATTCATTTATAATTCGGGTTAATTGAATGAATGGTAATGAAGAAGTTTCTAGTTTAGACTAAAAAAAACGCAAAATAAATTGATTTGAAAATGATGATAATAATGATTGGGATTTCACAAAAAAACACACACACACACACACACACACTTTTACTTTACTTTTCAAGGTGGCAAATTTTTTTTCTAGTGTGTGTGTGCGGTGGGGTTGGTGTGGTGTGGCCAAATTGAATTTAATCCCAAATATCAATGTCGTTTGTTTTGTTTTGTTTTGTTTGTTTGGAATTTAATTAAATCACAATGCTCATTTATTTATCTCTTTTTTTTCCTGTGTATGTGTGTGTGGGTGTACAATTTGCAACCAGAATTCGACTCTAATGAATCCATTCTAAATCAAATACAAAACAAACAAACAGACCTATCAATGTGTGGCGATTTGAACAACAACAAAAAAAAATTTTCCATTTGATTACGTTTGCTCATTTGGATCCAATGATTTGTGTGTGTGTAAAAAGAAGATGAAGATGAAAAAAAATGAAATCAAAAAAAAAACAACGATGGATTGAAAATGAACAAAAAAAAACTGAAAAAATCACAAATGAAAATTGAAAAAAAAAATGTAAACAAAATCAAAATGAAATATGAAATGGAATTTTTGTCTTTTTTTTAAACATGTTGTTTATTGGAAAACCTGAAAAATCTATTTAGACTTGATTTTGTTTGTTTGTTTGTATTGAAAAATTGACTTTAATGGACATATAAAAAGATCATGTTCATGTTTTTTTTTCTTCTCTCTCACATCATTGAGTTTTCTCGTTGTTTGTTTGTGGTGTGTGTGTGTGTGTGAATGTGTGTATAGAATTTTAAAGGCAAAAACTGGCAACATCATGATGGAATCCAACGAATGTAACATCCATTTGTTTTGGGCATAATGTGTAGGTGTGTGTGTGTGTCATGATCATAAATTTTGTCAATTTTTTTTTTGCAAAGACAAGAAAAAAACGACAACGACGACTACAACATTATTATTAGACAAATTAATCTTACTTATGGAGAGAGAGAGAGAGAGAAAAATGTCGTTTTTCAACAAGAAACAAAAAAATCATCCGGTGTAAAAAAAAAATAATGATGATGAGCAAAATAATCAATCACGAAAATTCAATTTTCAATTATTCAATTGAAAATTGAATTTGCAATTGATAATCATTCAATTTGATATTGATATCCAGTATGTGGTTGAAATTAAATCGTTTTTTTTCGTTTTTTGGCTCAATAATTTTTCTCTGGTTTTTATTTTGTTTTTTTTTTTTTTTTTTTGGATCAAACAACACAACGATAAACGAAAACAAAAAATGGCAGAAAATGGTTCGATACGACAGAAAAAAAATACCAATCTGCTATTTGAACGCATATATTTGTCGCCGTTGGCCAATAATATTATCATCTTTGAAATGACAAATAGAATGGATAAATAAATAATCATTAGATGACGATGATGATGATGATATTGGGAAATACAGCACAACAAATGATTGTTGTTGTTGTTGTTGTTGTTGTTTTTGTTGAAAATGAATTTATTTATAAATATAGAAACCAAGTATACTACTATTGGACTCTAATTAGATCCATTAAATAGAAAAAAAAGCTTAATGTTTTTTCTTCTTCTGATAATAATGACAACAACAACAACAACAACAATGTACTTTTCATTATATTTTTGTAGGTGGATAGATTGAAATAGCCATTATGTTTGTTTTGTTCATTTTCGATCATATCATAATCGGGTAAAGTAAGAAAAAAAAAGGAATCGGATTTTTTTTTTGTTTTTTTTTTATTATTAAATAAAAGCAAAAAAAAATTTTCGTTCTTTTTACTTTATTCCGGACATTTATTGTAAGAATTAGAATGAATATCACAGGAAACGACCACTCCTTCCATTCATATGTACACACACACACACACAACTATTTTGTGTTAATCGTATTGTGTTCCAATAAAATGGAAAATAAAACGATGATGATGATGATGATGATGAACTGAAATAAATAAAAAAAAAGAATGTATGAAAAAATAGATTGAAAGTGGTGGCTGAATATATTTTTTTTTGTTGTTGTTGTTTCCATCATCATCATCATCATCATATCCGATGATAGTGGCCCAAGAAATTAGAATCGTTCCATTTTAATGAATAAAATGGATGGATGGAATATTCTTTTTTTTTTTATCTCCTATTGATTCAGAATTCTTTCCTTTTCATTATTGATTAAATTATCTAAAATGTTTTTTTTTTTTTTTTTTTTTTTTTCATTCATTCATTATTTCCCGTTCAATCAATCAACATGATGAAAAATTTTTTTTTAGACGTGAAATACTTGCCTTGAGCAATGAAAATTATAGCCTTGAAAAACAATTAATTTCGTATCAAAAAACCATTGGACATACAACAACATCTCGTTCAATTTCAAAAGATAATTCAAGTGAAAATGGTTCAATTAAAAGCAATCAACAACAGCAGCAACAACAACAACAACAACAATTACATCATCATCAACATCATTCACAGCAACAACAACAACAACAACATAGACATCATATTGGTGGACGACGTTCATCATCGGAAATACAATTAAATGTTGAAAATTTATCCAAAATTATTAATCCATTATCGATGATTGTTAAACAACAAAATAATCCACAACAACAATTAATTACGCAACAACAACAACAACAACAACGAAATGGTCATCATCATCAAGATTTAGTGACAACAATTCATTCAACACAATTACAACAACAACAACCACAACAACAACAGATAGTTCATAATGCACGCAATATTCATTCAAAACAACCAATACAACCTATACAACAACAGGCAACACAACAATCACCAATTTTTCATCATCATCATCATAAATTGCCTACAATACCAAATCAACAACAACAACAACAATCAACATTACAATATCAACATGGATTTAAAAATACATCAATGATATCAAATTCACCAAAATTTAATTCATTACGTAAAGCATCGCTTACACATTATGGATCATTACCAAATAATTCTACATCATCATCGATGAAATTTTTTTATAGTGAAGATCAAGAAGATTATGGTCCAAATGTTTTAAACACGAGTTTAACGCCACCACCACAATCACCACGTATTGTACCACAGCGATCATTACATCGATCAAGAGAACGGAATTATCCACCACAACCAATATTATCATCATCAACAATGCCGATGGCCATACATCAAACATCATCTTCATCATATGGTGATGGTGGTGGTGGTGGTGGAAATGGTAATAATATAAATGGTCTACTACCACCACCATTATTTCCGTCGTATAATACAATAGATAATGATGATGTTCTAATTCAACATTATCGTACACAATTATTAACCCAACGACCAATATCACCGAGCTTACAAACAACAACAACAACAACACAACCACCACAATTATCATCACCATTAAGACATGGACATCATCATCATCATCATCATCATCATCATCATCATCATCAACAACAACATCAATATGGTAATCATCGTTTTATAAATCCAACGGTTATTGTTGATAATGAAAATTGTACAACATTGCAACAAGAACAATTACTAATAAATTCAGCTAATGGTTGGACAGTACCAATAACAACAACGATAACAACAACAACAACAACAACAACAGCAGCAGCAGCAGCAATAACAACAAACATACCTGTAACCATAATAACTGGAATTGATGAAAATGATTATGTATCAGGTGGAGCAGGTTACATACATGGACATTATGTTGGATAAAATAATCTATATACATATATTACATTCCATTATATGAATATTCTATGAATCAAATGAAATGTGAAGTATTATATATATATATATATCCACCCATTTTATTATGACAAAAATACACCCTTATGGTCACACATTTATTTATTTTTCGCCATTTGAAAAATGAAAAAAAAACAATCGTGATGATGATTATCAAACGAAAAATTTTTATTGTGCAAAAAAAAAAAAAAAAAAGGTTTCAAATTCCAGATTTTTCTTTCATTTCATTTATATGCACTTATTTTTCAACATTTATCATTCACACAAATCAAATCAATCAGTTTTCATTATCAAAAGTGAAACTGTGAAACAACACCATAATACCACCATTTTATCTGTGCACACACAAACACACACACACAAACACTCGCAAAAGCAAAAATGAAAAATCATTTTCAATTCTATATTTTTTTTCTATTTATATATATTATTACAATATTGTTGTTGAAAACTAAATAAAAAAAAATGATTACTATATATTGACATTTACATTGTATTTATTTTTTTTTTGCTGATTTGAATTTGCGCATGCGTACAAAAAAAATTGTCATTTTTTCATGAAAATAATGATGATGATTGAGATTTATCCACCAGATTTAACGAAAAAAAAAAATAACGTATTTGAAATGGTTGAATCTCGTTTTGTTTTGACATTCAATCCAATTGGCCATCCATTGTTTTGTATTTTTGTATTTTTTTTTTTTTGCAGATTGAAATCCGTATGTTCATCAACGTCGATTCAATTTTGTTATAAATAGTTTGGACCGTTTGTTAATTAATTACACACACACACACACACACACACATTGATCGTTGAAATGTGTATATTTCATTTCATTTAAAAAGTTTTCAAATTAATTTTACAAGAAAAAAAGAAACAAAAAAAAATCAATTTAATTAAATTAAATTACAGTGATACTTTGGTTTTTTCGGATGGTGACGATCGAAAATGACTAAAAAATGGCCACCATGACTTGATTTGTATCCAAAATTCAATCAAACAACAGCACAAGATGGTAAAAATGACAATAAAAGATTTATGGAGAAAGTAGAAAAAAAATTGCAAAAGTAAAAGTTTCCGGAAAAAAATGAAAAACTTTATTATATTGTTTTCAATCATCTTAGTCGGCAGATTTTAGTTTTTTTTTTTGGTGATGAAAAATGATTTTTGGCTCTTCGCTATCTATTTTTTGTTTCATTCGGCTTTCTAAAAATTCAATCAATCACAATATTGCCAATATTGATCAAATTAATATCATCATAATGAAAAAAGAATTTTAAAGAAAAAAAAAGAGACAGCGGTAGATGGCTCTGTTTATACATCTACAAATAGATTAGACATCGGCATCATCATTTCAATACAAAATAATGATGATGATGATGATGAATTCATCATCATCAAAAAGAATTTTTTTTCCCCCACTGAATCACTCGTCACTATGTAAATATTGATCATTCAATCAGATCATCAGTGTGAATGACATGACATAACAATCAATGATGATGATGATGATGATGATGATGATGATTCTTATGAAAATTGGTTAAGCAAAGAGAAGAAAATAAGATGAAATTCTTTTTTTTCTTTCTCTTTCGATCTTTTTTTTTTTTATTTGTTCCAAGATCATCATCATCATCATCATCATCAGGTCGATATTTTTCTTTGGATCATTGGTTGATTTTTCTTTGCTCACACACACACACACATATTCACATTTTTATTTTTATTTTTTTTTATTGGTCAATAATAGCCAAAATAAATGATCAAAAATGTACCGTAAACAAATTCGATTGAATATCGCTCATCATCACGCCATTCATATTCGAGTATGTTTGTTTGTTTGTTTGTGAGTGAATGGTAAATATTTGTCTAAGAAAAATAAAAATAAAAAAAAAGAAAGCAAGAAAAAAATAACGAAATATTTCTCATACGAATGTAATGGAATCTTCTTTATGAGAATGACAAAAAAAAACAACAAAACATTCGCCATCCAGAATTTAATATTGCTTTAAAAATAATTAAAATGAATGAATCATTGGTGGAAATGTTTAACATAATTACGAAAAACGAACACATTAACCAACACAACATAATCAAATATTTTCCATTCATTTAGCTTGGCTTTCACATGTGTCGAGTATTTTTTTTTTTTTTTTTTTTTCACATCAAAATAAAGCCGGAAGCAAACAGTGAAAAAATTTTTTTTTCAATTTAGAATATGATGAAAAGTTTATCAATAACCAGCGAAAATAGTTTACAAATAATAGATACTCTTCATTCGAATTCGATCAATTATCATTATCGGTTCAATTGATTTATTGGTCGTGGTTGTTGTTGTTGTTGTTGTGGCCATCAATGGAAAAACCGGGAAAATTCTGATGATGATGATGATGAATAGCCAGGAAAAAAAGATCAAGAAAAAAAACATTTGATTAAATATAGCACAAAAATATCCAGAATCGAAAAAAAAAATCTTTGGCTGTTAAAAGTTGTTGTTGTTGTTGTTGTTGTCATAATCATCAACAAGAAAGTTTTCAACTTCATCAATGATGCTATTCAACAAACAAATCAACGAATTGTTGTTGTTGTTGTTGTTGTTGATATTACTATTGACCAAATTATTAATGACTCAGTAAACACACACATATATATCTATTTAAAGAGTAAATAAACGCACACGCACACACACACACTAATACCAACTTTTATTTTTCGATTCGAAGAAAAATTACATCAAATCATTATTATTATTATTACATGGTGAAAGGCCAAATCGACAAAAATAATATCCAAAATGGATGGAATATAAACATTTTTATCATCTTTAAATATATGATGATGATATAATTAACGACAACAGTACAGTGGGCCCGGAATATATTTCAAGAAAATGAAAGAATTTACGATGTTTACCAATGATGATAATTATATAATCGAAAATTGTTGTTGTTGTTGTTGTTGTTGTTGTTGTTGTTGTTGCTGTTGTTGTTGTTGTCGTTATTGATGTTGATAAGTTGTAACATTTTATTTGATGTTTGTTTGATCAAAGATTTCATACAAACACACACACATAGACACACATAGACAGGCAAACAAAATTTGTCATTATTTGTATATTGATCGATTTTGTTGTTTGAAATTTAAATTTTCAATTTGAATTTATGTGGAAATCCAAACGATGATGGTGGTGAAATTGGATTCTTGAACATGATAAACATTTTGGATTTTTTTTGTGTGTCCACTTGATTCTCCCGTCCAGAATATATTGCACATATATTTTTTTCGTTGATAAAATGTGAATAAATATAAAAAAAACAAAACAAAAACAACAGCGAAAATTTTTTCCAAGAATTCTATTAGTGTCAGATAATATATGTCGGTGAAAAGCAAAAAAAAAAAAAAAAAAACCCAGGAAATAAAATCCGACAGCCAAATATTGTGAGTGCCAAGATCATCATCATCATCATCATCATCATCAGAAACAGCATTATTATCATTGAAATTCGTGCTCAGGAATATTAATTAATCTTGGAATTGTTGTTGTTTGGCAATATAATAAAAAAAAAAATAAAAACCAAAGTCAAATATGTGTATGAAGACAGAGAAACAAAAAAAAAGCAAATAAACTTCATCATTGTTATTATTATCAACAGAACAGAACAGAACAGAATTTACTGGATTTGTCATCTTTATCTTTATCATCACGATTCTTACTGTTTTTTTCTCTCTCTCTCTTTCTCTCTCTCTTATTTGATATTGTCAACCTAAGTTTTTTTTTTGTGTGTGTGTGTGTGTGTGTGTGTATCAGTGTTGTATTCACATTCATGCTCTAATTGACATTATGATGATGATGATGATGATGAAGAAAATCAAATTTTTTTTTTGGTTTGATGTGAAAAACAAGACCAAATAAAAAATGATGATGATGATGTTGCATGAAAACAAGACATGATTTAAAATTATTTTTTATTCAAATAGAAAAAAAGCAAGAAGAATTTGGAATCAAAAAAAAACTTGAATTTGAAATTTGCCTAAAAGCAAATTCGCCATAAACATACACCCACACACACACACACACTTATATACAAATACAATATCGCAATAATCATCATGAATCGATCCATTGATCGATATCGTATTGAATGTATTGGTTACAACAACAACAAAAAATAAAGAAAAGAAAAAAAATCAATTACACATCAATGGATATCGATTATAATGATGAACAAGTAAGGTTTGCGTGTGTGTGTGTCAGTGTGCAAAATACAAATTCAATTGAATTTTCAAATTGTTATTCAATACGTTTGGCATTCTCTCATTACCAGCATCACCACCACGCAGACAATGGTAAATTTTTCACAGAGAAAAAAAATAACTAAAAAAAATGCAATTTGTTGAATACTGA